GGGGGTGGGCGGGAGGGGGAGAAAAAAAAAGGCAAAGTTTAAGAAGGATGAGCCACTGGTTAGGGCAATAGTTTGCTATTCAAAAAACCTCCACTCAACTCCTTGATTCACCACAGGCACAAGGCTTTATCTACATTGTACAATACAAGTGACAAAAGAAATCCCCACAGTGTGAGTATCTTGGCATTTCTGCAACATGTGGCGAGTACTGCACACAGATAAACCTGTAGACCCAGGAAACAGTATAGCTATATTTGCTCAGGTACAGCATCCTGTTTCCAGTTCAGAAACTACCTTGTTCGGAGATTGCTTGAATATTGTTGCACAATTCTGTTTTGCACTGAATAGGTATCTCCTTAGTTGTCATATGCCTCCGTTCCCTATGTCAGTCTAAAGACTACAAGGCACTTGAGCACTCTGGTAACGAAGGAGTTACTGCTATGCAGCTAAGTGTCTTATTCAAATGACTATTCAACATCAGGTGAAATAAAGCACTATGGAATAGCTGAAGCATAGCAATATCATTTAAGGGTTTTTTCCATACTTTTTTAACATTTCACTCTCCCAGTCCAGCTCCTATACCCCATCTCACTGGGGCAAGACTGTTGTTTATAATGTTGGTGATTTGTTCAGCCTATCTTTCAATGACTCACATGTATTCCATTAGGCTGTATGTCACTGGCAGTGAAATTCAAAACACGCTGCCACAAAAGATGCTTTCTCTGCATTATTCTAGGCTTGAAGCTGACAGGAGGAGCTGGAAGCAAGTTACAAGGTATTTATGTGCTAGAGATAGTGCCTGGCTCTCCTGCCAGTGTGGAAGGCAGTTTGCAGCCACGAGATCAGATTGTTTACATCTGTGGACTGTGGACTGAGGGCATTAGCCTGGATGACGCCGTGAGAGTGTGTGAAGCTGCCACCCAGAATGTCCAAATCAAAGCCACAAGGTAAATCTGAGCATACTCAATCTCAATCCTAATGTTAAAGCAGGTTTCTAAATTTTACATCAACAAGTCAAACAATAAAAACAAGACAAACTACAAGAAAAATGCTTTGCCTCAAAGGTTTGAACGTTGCAACCTGATACATAACAACCATAAGATACCTTAACTCCTTGTAATTACAACTAACACAGTGAATACAAGTAGACTCGTACGACACAAATGAGAACTCTTCAAACTTCATCATCCAAACACAAATGTGAATCCTTCAACTGTGAGGCTGGCCACCATTTTCAGATATCCTGTCCTCCAGGGAAAATCTTTATATTTCCACCACTAGTGCCAACCTTCTCCATACATTCTCAGATTCACAACTACAGGCAAGAAACTACCTCTGATGGGAAACTCCAAGTTACTTCCAACAGCCAAATATTTTAGAAAGGTGTTAAAAATGCAGCATTTAATCTGCAGCAAGTTAAGAATTTCCCTCATCAGTTCTTGGCTGCATTTTAGATTTATTGTGTTCTACAGTCTGATAGAGCATCAGCAGAGGTCCTGGACCGATATAGAAATAGCTTCCAAAGATCTCAGAGGAACAGTCAAATGGTAACCCAACAGCATGTGAATGACTAAGTTAGATAACCAGAGTTAGCACTAGTGCGTCTGTCACAGCTGTCTTAACGTAGTTCGAACTTTTATCAATGTTTTATTAACTTGCACTGGGCTAGCAGATGAAAAAACTGCAGCCTCATTATACTTCTTGCTGCACAAACAGTTAGTAGGCAACACACCCTGAGCGTAAGAATTTACAGTCTAAGGAGGCAAACAGAAATATGGCAAAGAAAATTACGAAAGATCATTCCCACTTTATAGAGGGGGAACCGAAGCTGAATTCAAAACGTACCACAAAGCAGTTCTGTATTGGGACGGGTGGTTTAACATGATCTTTCTTTCCCCAACCCACTTAAATAAAATGTTTCACTGTTGTTAAAGACAGTCAAATATTTTACATACCGATATAAATGCTCTTTAGGAAAGCACCATTAACAAAATCAGAGAAGTACAACTAAAATTTAGACAACTGACTTTCTGAAAATATTTTTCATATGTGCTTTACAAAGCATGCAGCTCTTAATGGCTCACATATTTCACTTTTTCTGCCCCCAGAAATGGCAATCCAGTGGTTCCTATAGAGCAGGAAAATAGTAAGTAAGGCTAATATTTTTGGTTTTTAGTTCAAAACTTGCTTCTGATTTTGGAAATAAGCATAAGGTATTGATTCACTGCATTTAAAAAGTTATTAACAGATTGTAACTTGGCATTCAGTATTTCTGTTACAGACATTCTAAGAGTCTGAAGAAAATTTGGTAGCTCTTTAAAGCTAGAAATAAAATGTATAGTTCTCTGTAAAAAAAATTACTGCATTTTGCATAGTCAGTTTCTTTTTTTTTAATTTGTTGTTATTAAATGGGAATTTTACGTGATCATATTTCAACATCTGTTTTGATTGAAACTATTCTCTGACGGGTTTTCCAGCACTTCTTGAGCCACTATTTAATATGAGCCACTACTTCATCATCTAGACCAACTTTTTAAACTGTTATCAATAAATCTATAGAAAATCAGAAACAGGGAGCACCAATATCTTTTAGTTAATATAAGAGCATTCCTATCAGGGGACGATATCTAATACTATAACGGACACAAAAATTCAGTAATCGTCTGCACTGCAAAGACTTGACCAGAATTGCTCTAGCAGTAGAAGGAGTCTCAGCAAGCAGAGGTTGCATCTGCACCATCCGGTGGAAGGATAGGTATCACGTCTACGTCGCTGCGTAGAAAGTGTGTTAGCTATGCAAGTAATACTTTCCAGTCTACATTTGGCTGGAGTGTTAAGTCAGGCCTAGCCCACAGTTTCATTTACCTGACTGGATATCTGAATTTTTTTTAATCATGCAAAGATGACCTAAAAAGTAACCCTGGACCAGAATTGCTCGTTTGCCTACGCTCACCTGAATACTGGCATATGGCTACCTGAAGAAATTATTCCCAGTCAAGCTAGTTACAGATTTCCTACTCTACAACCACCACCCATGTGTTTGTTTTTATAAACTGAAGCAGCTTATTTCACTTACTGAAGAACAAGCTTCTTTGAATTTACTACAAGACACAGATAAAGTTATACTGCAGTGGCTGAGAGTACATGTAACTAAAGCACGGTACATGCATATCCTGGTAGGACCTTGCTTACACATCCTTGCTCCACAAGCTTTGCAGATTCCAAGATTTCTCAAGACACCTTCGAAATAGGTTACCAGGTCTGATCCACCTCTGATACAGATTTATGAACTCCACAATGGTAAAGTTACCTGCCTCTCTTATAAAACAAGATTCTTCCCTTTTATAAGGCACTTAAAAAAATCTATAGTAATTTGGTATTTGGTGTTCTGTTTGCTATCATCTCTGATAGATTTACAGATAAATCTGTAATAATTTGCTATTAAGGAAGCAAGCCTTCATTTTATAGACTCTCTTAGTTACCAAAATGCATACTAAAATTGCAAACACAACAGGGAACTTTTTTAACAACAGAACACTCATCATTTTCTATAATTGATACATTAAGAGTACTTTGTGGAAGACAAGTAAGGTCACCAAGATATGATAAAGCAAACCCCCAAAACTGAGGTGGGGGTGGGTAGAGGTGGAAGTGTCAAGAAATGCACCTTGTCTTCTTACTTATCCGTCTCTGCAGACACTAACACGCCCTGCTTCTTCCTCTGCCTGATCATTGCCACACGTCTAAATGACTCAGTCTGATCTCTGATTGTTGTTACCATTTTAAAAGTAGCAATGACTGAGGTGCAATATCTCTGCAATTCATGACAGAATTGTTTATATCACTGTGCAAATTGGCAAACTTAATCATGCAGTAGTAAGTGTCTCAAACTGCCTCGTATAGTACCAATATTGGATATTGACGCTTTGTTTAATAATCTAAGCACAGAGTTTACATTCCCTTGTGTATATGAAGGTTAGCAGGAGGCCTGTCAGAACAAACCTACGTGTATGCTTTTAGGGCCACCTGCTGAGACAGAGAAAGCCAACATTTCTTTCCCAAACGAAAACCTGAATTCCCGAGAAGAGCATCTGCTGCATCAACGTGGTAAGGAACTTTGTATTTTTCAGTTAGGGTTTGTAAAATTTCGTGGCCTCTCTTTGAAAGAAAATAAGTCTGTAGGTGGTACTGGCAGCACCTGGGAAAGATTAATTCTTCATAAACAAAACTGCCTCCCTCAGAGTTTCAGAGAACATTTATACATTACCTGTTACCCTGTAACATGCAGCTTTTAAAGCTTGTTTTGAACCTGCTCACTGGGAGGTAAAAAGTCTACAGGGATAATGTGCAGAAGGCTCAGTTCACTGTTCAGGAGTGTAAGCCCGCATAAGTCCACAGGAATTTTTTTGTATTTTACATGTCAAATATAAAATGTTTTATTATGTCTCTGAATATGATTTTGAGTGTTATACTATAGAACATTTTACCAGTACAACTGTGTAAAAGTTGTTGCTGCTTTTTCACAGAGAAACATTTGGAGGAAACAAACTGTGGTGCTCAGCAAAACACTCCCGATTCTCCAGACTGTAAGGTAAGTGACAATTTTATCAAGTGTGAGGCAGTCCATCAAGTGAAGTGAGCTATATGGAGTAGATTTTTTCAACAGTGGTATCTAATATATTTGCTTCCTCTCCAGTTTCTTTGAAAATGTGAATATAATGCATTTGGAGAGCATCCTGTGAATTGTTGAATTGCTTCAGCATTCATGGACTAGAATGTGCTGAGCACTTCCTGGGGTCAGACTCTTCTATTGCTGTTTTTCAATGTATAATATCACTATTTTACCAGCTTGGTAATATAAGCACGACTCATATGATGTAGCCCCTCCATTAGGTCTTCACAGTACTCTTAACAGCTTACAAGATTAATCCTTAGCTTAGAAAGAAAGTAGCAAAGGAAGAAGTTACAAAACTTCACACTATGGGATCCTGGGGAAAATAAGTGTAATTGCAATCGTGAAGCACTTTCCACAACAACCTTTGAAACCTGAGATTAATATGTTTCATTCTGAAATTCTCAGATGAGGCATTTGATAAGATGGTAAAATTACTCCAAACCCTTGGAGTATTATGTAGCACTGACATAAACAATAACAGTTTGAATTTGGAAAAGCTATGCCATTTTTGAAATGATGAATTCCTAAAATACACAGGTGCGTTCTTTGAAAAAAGAAGTAATTTCCATGCTCAACATACAATGCTTCAAAATTCTTACAAGGGCAAACATCACTTCTGTTTGTGCAAACATGTGGAAAATAATGTTACTTGGAATTGAAATTACCCACATTGGGACTGATATTTCATGGGAATAGATTTACTAGTTTTCTCTTGATTGTGGTTTGCAAAGAAGGGCTGTCTCTTGTTAAAATTAGACCTCCAACCTAGCAGAAAAATTGGAACAATTTTCTCACTTTTGATTAAGTCATCACTATTACTGCTTTTTCCACACCATTTAATCCATGATGGTTTATCTGTTCAACTTGCTAAAATAATTTCTGAGGATGATATTTGCAACATTGCAACTACTCATGCTGCAAGTCATAAACATTTCTAGGTTGCTGCTATTTCTGACATAATACTTGACCCTAAAAAAGCAGCTTATTTTAAAACTGAATGAAATGCTAAAGCCAAACATATGGGTATGTTGGGGTTGCAAGGTTAAGATTTTCATTATAGAACAGTAAAAGAATGGAATATATACTGTGTTACTGTCACGCTGGAGATAAGAGTGACTTGTTTGTCAATGAAGGTGATGTATTTGATATATTATAAAAGGATTACAAAAGTATATGTTTCCTTGCTCTTAAGAGATTAGTTTCCCCTCCAGCAATTATTTAAAAAGATTATGGAAATAACTATGTACTATTTTCATTCTGATATATACAGCTGCTATGTTAATCACTGGAAGCTCTATACACCTATTCAAGAGAAGGATATATCCCATAATCTACATCAGCCAGTGAGGACTGTGAAGCATAATGGGATTCTTTGGTATCAAAAATGCAAACAAAACACAGCCCTGAATAAACTCCACTTTAGACTGCATCCTTTTCTATTGTAGGAATTCATTATTAAGGTTGAGCTGGAAAAAGCAGAAAATGGAAGCCTAGGATTTGCACTGGTAGGTGGAAGAAATGGCAGGGCTACCCTAATAAAAGCCATCAGCCCGGACAGCATTGCAGATCTAGATGGGAGGCTTCAAGTTGGTGATATCCTGCTTAAGGTAATGCTTGTTCTTCATTGTTTTGGCCTACGTTTTCTCCAGTTACTCTATAATGAGCATTCTGTTCAGTATGGAGGTTGTGCAGGTTGGAAGTCTGAGGCTGCTTGGCACAGTAACATGTAGAAGATGGTGTTCCCCGGCTCCTAGGGGTCAGAGGGCTGTTCTGCCCCCCCGCCCCTTGCCTAGAGTTCAGCTCCCTGGGGGATTGGGCCTCTCTACAGCTGGAAGGTGGCTGTTGGGCACTCCAGCAGAGAAGCAGACCCAGAATAGCAGGGCAAGTGGCAAAGTGCAACTACTCCGTAGTGTAACTGTGCCCAATGAGGATTACACGTGAAAAAAATCAGGGAAACGAGAGTTAACTGACGAAGCGTGCATATAGCAGCTAACCAGGAGGAGGATACTATCATCGGTGCCAGTTAGGTATTATAAAGACAAGAAAAAAGCACTGGAATTAGAGCTTTTGAATCTTTATTTAAAATTTTATTATCTTAACCACCTTTTAACACAAATAATCTTTTTTTTTTTTACCCCAAATTATTTTTTCTTCCCCGTCCAGGAGTTTCAATATTTTTGTTTGCTTTTCTATTTTTCATTTACTTCCATCTCTCCTCCACCTTCCATCTGAAGAGTGGAGGAAACAATGCCCTCTTAGTGTCTCAGAAGAGATGCAGACTATACTTCTGTGGTGTACTGCTGGCAATCACAGTATAAAGAAGTAGAGAGGAGAGGATCAAGCAAGTTACTAAAATGGGAGGGGATGAGGACACGTGAAGTGCAAAGAAGTTATATAAAGATTGCTCAGTGCTGGGATATATGACAAAAAAGCTTTGTGTTACAGGAATCTGGAAGTACATGTCATTGTATTTTTCAGGTGAATGAGACTTTCGTGTCTGGTCTGCCACGCCAAACAGTTATAGATCTGCTGCGCCAGGCTCAGGGCACTGTTCAACTCACTGTCTGCAGAAGCATGGCTTTGCATTGGGCTTATTCAGGCAGTCAGAGCAACAGTATACCTTCCCCCTCAAACACAAAAGCAGAGCCTGGTAAGCAGCCGCATCCATTCAGTACATGATAAAAGTGGGATTATGCGTTGCCTGAATTCAACTTTCCTATTAGCAAAACAATTCAGTATTACTAACTTTACAGTTACTCCCGACTCATAGCCGTAGATGCAAACGCATTCTTCACCCTGATCTGCAGCTCTGGCTAAGCTACTCAAGACATAGGACCACAGGGAAGGAATGCCTAAGTGTTGATTTTTTAAGTCTAGTAATAGTGGAAGCAAAGCTGCAAGACCCTCAAAGATGCTTTAACTCAGCTTATGTTTCCAAGTCATGAAGATTCCTGGTCTGTGCTGATTTTACCCAGTTTTATACAACTTACTGATGGAATCACAGCGAATTACTGACCCAGCTGCTGAACTACGTTTCTCACAAATTTCACATCCCAGCACTCCTACCTTATCTCTTGGAAGCACTACACCTCCTGTTCTGCCTGGCAGACAGCTCCTCTCCCTTCTGTGCTTGTTCATGTTCAAATCCAGAAGCCTCTACTCCCAGGTTGATTGCTATTGATTTGAGAGCACACCCACCTGCATAAGGCAGTACTTAGAGAGCTGACTAACTCTAATGGAAGAAACTTGTGCTGCAGGCTCTGCTCTACTGAATACTCAAAATTTAAATACTAATTAAAGCTGGGAGTGGAAGCAAGGGTATACTATTACCAATAGATTATGAGTTTATATTCCTCAACTTTCTATTTCTTTGAACACTGAAATGTTTCCTATAATGTGGAGAAACTTCAATGAGAAGAATACAGAATTCCTCCTTAAGATACCTTCTGGCCTGCTGGTTACAAATTGGAGGCTTTGTTTCAAATCTTCTCACACAAGAAGCCACTGCCATTGCTATTTGCTTTCTCCCCAGCTGACTAGGGAGAGACGCAGGGCTGGCTGTGGGGTTTGGACATATTTTACAGCAAACATTTATGCATCTAGTCAGCTTTACTGATGCAAACTTACCTGCGTAGGTATTTTAGGCAATTCTGCTGTTAGGCAGCAGCTGCCTCTAGGGCTTAAGGATCTCAATTTTTTCTGTATCTATTAGACTGAACCTAATCCTCTTGAACTCCTAGCCTGTGTCATAAGTACTGGACACTCCTTCACTTACTGGAAGCTACCCTGGGTGTTTCAAGAGCAAAGCTTTCCCCTAAGGGTAAGAAAACTATGCTCAGCACTGGCCTGGAAGGAGGATGTTCACTGCCCCATCTCTATTCTAGTTTAATTTTGGGGGTTAATGATGCAAAAAAAAAATGGAAGGATAATTTTGGGGGTTAATGATGCAAAAAAAAATGGAAGGACGGCCAGTTATAAAAAGGCTGATTGAAGCTCTTGCCCTATTAAGGGCTGTGGAAATATTCCCATTCACTTCAGTGAGACTAGCCTTTTTTCCAGCTCTGCAAATTCAAGGAAATAGCTGTGGGGATGTTTATTTGCATCTCACATGACATTGGTGAACTACACAGTTGCTGGAAAGTTTAAACTGTTTTCCTGGACCAGCAAAACCCAATGGTATTATAGAAGCACTGGCATCAAAGTTAATCTATGGTATTTGTCCCTTAGCACTGCAAAGGAATGGGCTGGGTTAGGGAGGGCAGATTTAAATTCTGTTTCAGGTTTTTTATAACTGCTGTAGATACAGGGGTCTACTTCAGTGTATCTTCTGGCAACCTGAATTATGCTGGCTTCTTCATTTGTGTTGTACTAACCCTCTCCGAGCATCCATGAAAGGGATATTCCATACCAGTTTCTGGCACTGTATCTCAGTGCCTCTTCCAAGGTCCAAGTCCTCTGGTGTGGGTGGCACAGAAGAAATGGATCTATATTTTCATGCTTTATAGGCATTTTATTTTGGTTTTGTTTTCTGGTATTCAGACAGTGCTGAGGGAAGCCTGCGAGCTCAGCCTGTTTTCACTTTCAAGGAAGGAGAAGAATCCAACCAGATGTGCACCAAGGTAAAATCTGAACCAGGCTTCTAGACGTTATCAGTCAATGTACTCGTATGTTTGTTGACAAAATGGGTTTGCTGCAATGCAGGCAAGAACCACACCTTCTTAATGACAAAAGATTAATGTGAGGGAAGTGTGCTGCAATGACTGGAACTGCTAATATTTGAATGAGTCAGGGGATTCCACTGAGATAAGAGCATATGATTAGTACAATATATATGCTAAAAGGGTGGGGAAAGGAAGGTTGCATTTGCGAGTCTTGTTCTCATGCTTTATCATATTGGAATGAATGATTTATTAATTTTACCATTCTTTCGGTATTTTAAAACAATATACTTCAAAAGATTTCTGTTCAACTGTCTTCCATTAATATTCATAACTCCAAGGCACCCAAACTTCTTCAAACATGGTTATGTTTTTGAATCTTAGTAAGTCTTGTAAGACATTCCACATCAAGTTTTACAGCACCTATTATTTCTAAGTTTATAGCTGTAAAACCTCTCCTCAAAATGTGATAAATATAGGTCTTCTTATCCTCCAGAACAAATTAAAAAAGCAAACCCTGCCTCAACCAATATAATCAAACTAGAAAAAGGAAAATGGAAGAAATCCTTGACGTGAATAAGCTGAGAAAACCTTGAAGATTAACTTGAGGAAGTTTTAAGTACACTGTTGGAATGGGTGTTGGAAATAAACTGTTAGAGATTGGTGAAATGTAACATCAAAACAAAATCATGTCCTGATCTGACAAAGAAGTACACCCAATAAATAGTATCAATGGGAAGTAGTAGATAGTACTAAGGTTACAGGTTCCTTATTAGATCCCTGAATTAGCAAGGTATTAAGCCACACTTTTAGTTTTAACCTAGTTCAGCAGAGCACATACCTAACTTTAAGCACATGCTAAATTTTTTTGCTGAATTGGTTCCATTAACTCTCTCGTCTTCATTATTTCCAGCTTGCCTTTAGCTGTCTCCTATGAATAGAAACTATTTATGCTTTACTTCATAGAGCACAGCTGCCATCTACTCCAAAGATGTGGACTTTGAAAATGACAAGCTACTGACAAAAACAGATGCAAAACAGCAGCAGTAAAATACCTTTCCTTGGCAAATAGAAAACAAAAATCCATATAGCATTCTCCAACCAGTGTAGTCAGTAGGTGCAGAAACTACGTAAATGAATTCATGGTTAAATAGTCAGCCATGAATTCCCCTATTCTAACGGAGAAATACAAGCACAAAAGTAAGAAAATAAGGTATAAGTGGCAGCTACCGTTAAGATTCTGTGGGGCATTCAGTAGTTTATACTGTGTAACATGCCAGGGTGGTTTCTGAGTGCATGTGGAATATTAAGCAGGGAAAGAAGAAGAAACACCACTCTAAACTAAAATTTAAATAATTATCTGTCAAATGTTACAACTGAGAAGGAGACACTTCCACATACTAATGGCAAATGTCCTGCATCATTATTTAAATGCAAGACCCAGCTACCATTCTCTAGGACGGAAAAACAGCCACCGATACTATTGCTTCTACTGCATATGGAGGGCGATCAAGGGTTCTTGTTGCCTTCTCTGTTAGTTGAGTGCTTCTTCGCAGAGCAGCTGCACCCTGCTTCTAACAGCTGGCATCGTTGTGTCTGAGATAAAAAAAAGAAATTATTACCAACAATTCCATCTCGGATACTGGTGCTTTCTGCTGCCAAGAGCTGGGAGGTGAAGAGCAGAGCGTGACTCATGGTTCCTGTGATTGCATTTTCTTTATGAGATCAGAGAGGATATAACTAACACAAACCTTTTTCAAGTTTAGTCGTGCATGCTATGTTGTAGAGATGTCTGAAGACTGTATTGTTATGAAACTCACAAATACAGCTGCTGTGGCTTTTTAATCCTAGTAGATACTGCAATGCTGAGTCAAAGTTACATACTTTCTTCTGAAAGTGGAAACTATTCTATTTTTCCTTTCCTTCTTGAGTGAAGGACACATTTTTGTCAGATACAAGAAAGATTGTTGATGAAAGTAACTACATTCTTGATGTTTCTGTGTACTGATTTTTCACAGCTTTTTCTTATTTTAAACCTGCAGGATCCGGAAAGTACACACAATTCCCCTCTGCAGCGTCAGCTGGCTGGACAAGACTATAAGGAAATCATCAGTAACATTTCAGACGGGTAAGTCTTTCAAATGCAGTAAAACTATTAAAATAAAGAGCATGGATAATTTATTCTTATATTTTCAGAGCTGTCCTAATATGGTATACAAATGCACTCATGTGTCCCAAATGATAGAAATACAGTTCTATTGGAATGTAGCTCCATCTGCAGTAAGAGTTGCTGAACAGCTTCCACACAGCTACTAGGACAAATGAAACAGAAGCTTCTAGGTGTAACAGCTCAGACATGCCTCAGCTTTAGCCTTTCTAGCTGAGGAGGAGAGAGAAGAGTGGTAGCACTATCGCAGTGGTGTGGGCAGGGTCCCCGTGGGTTTTACTAAGCGTTCCAAGCAGGTCTTGCAGCCTGGGCTGGACCCTGTGCTACTATGACTGTAGTGATACAGATGTTGAACTCCAGACATCTGGGAACCAAGAGAATTTGAGGATGTTACTCCAATGAAAGTACATAGTACAAGAAGAGAAGAATTTTACTTCAAATTTTAAATCTACGGTACAATGGGAAATCAAAGAATAATGGAGTGTTGATAAGACATGGGCAGTTTTGTCTATTACAATGATGCAGAGTAGATGAAATATGATTATTTTCTTTATCACTTATAACCCACATAAATGGAAAAAAGGACTAAATGGTTACCTTTAAAACTTAAAATTTTGTAAGAACAGTACTTGGCCAATCAATTAGGGTTGAAAATCTTCCCTAACTTACCTGCGTGCAGAGATAAAGTTTGAAAGAAGCTTTGAGAGCATCTGCAAGTGAGAACATCCATGTGAACAACGGCTCAGTGCCACTTGCTATTATCTCATTGCTAATATAACATTATCTTGTGACATACCAGGTAATCAGGTGTGATTACTATTAAATTATTTTGCTCTGTGTGCAAGAGGCATAAATGCATCTATGGCTAATACAGTTATCATATATAGGGATAGCAAGTATCTTTTCTGGTTGTTTTGCAAATAGGATGGTTTTCTGGCCCCTGTCCTGTAATCTGAATCTTTTTACTACCAGTATTTTCTGGTTTTTCTATTTTCTACTTGCAAAAGCTTTGTGTAAGTTGAACATGCACAGCCTGCAATGGTTACTGATATTTGCAAAGCTGCTACTTAATATCTTATTCTCCCTCTTAAGTGTACCTTTTACTATTTCTAACTTTACGTATTATGATCATTTTTATCCCCTTCCCCCTTCGAACCTAGTTTAAAGGTTCATATCCTATGATCATACATAGGATAGGATAATGGAAGACTGTGATCTGCTTAGGCCTACTAACATAGTTAAATGTTAGGTCTGAGGGTTTCGGAGTTAGCCAGTAGAGGAATATTTGACCCATTCTGCACACATTATAGTTGCATTCTGGATTGCAGGCATATCTTCTACCTAGAACATATTGAAGTGCTCTAAAATTTTCTAAATACATTAGGAAACAGTAACAAGCAAAGCCAATTTAGCTATGATTGCCTAACAACTCAAAAATGTCATACATGAAAAATTGTTTATAACTGTGACAAACCTTATTTTCAATCATTTTTTGGGCAGCTTTTTATACAAAGCATGTTCTTATCTCTTTGAAAAAATAAAATACCACATACAGATAACAGTGTTTTTCACTAGCTATATTTGCAAACACTACTCCAGACAAAATGCTACTATTACTCCTTGAACTTACGTTCTTCAGAGTTCACACTAATTCTTGAAAATAGTTGCTCAAGAAAGTTAAAAGTGACCAAAAATAGATTAAAAACAAAACCTTTGTACAGTTCGGATTATCAAAGCTTCTGCTGCTTCCATAAGACTATTCAACTAATGCTGTTTTACAGGTCACAGAAATATGCAGTATGTGAAGGCTGCAGAAGAGAGAGTCAGCAGTCTGAGTCAGACAGCTGGAGCAATGAAGATGATGATATGCCCCACAGGATTTCTGTTCTACCTAGAAGTAACCATGCAAAAACTTCTCTTCTTTCTTTAACATTATAGGCCAGCTCCTCCATATATGTACAGTGAGGACAACACTAATCCCTTGTATATAAGCTAAGGGCACAAAGTGCCCTTTGTGTCTCAAAGACTAGGGCACTCATGACACAATTTTTTGCCATTGATACTTGCGAAGGCTATCAAACCTTTGCAACATCCACAAGAAGAAGGCCTACATCAGGGTCTCCAACTCTTTTGGAGAACTGCTAGGAGGAAGGACCATGAGTCTGAATGTAGTTAACTGAACCCAGGGAGGGCAGCTCTGCTGGCCATCACCCACTCGCCACTGCTCTGAGCACCTCTGCTTTGGAACTCCAGTTTCAAACGGATGAGCAACTTTTTAGTTTTATTTTTTGTGGAGTTTTTTGTGTCTTTTGTTTTGGGTTTTGGTTGGGATTTTTTTTTCCTAATGTTATATATCATGTCCTCCAAAAAGGAAAATCTCTGAATACCTTGATTATACTCAATTAGGTGTACAAACTGAGCAAATAAGAGGAAAAGAAAGTTGTTGAATTAATTTAAGCAACATCATGACAATTGTTCAAAACATGCACTATTGGATAGTGCAAAGAAATGACACATTGGCTCAGTGGCTGAACAAAAAAAATGAACATTGCAATTTGGGTCAGAAGCAAACTTGTGGGAGCTTCCCAATGCATAATTAAAAAACTGAAATTCTTAGTTTGTCCCAAAACGAATAAAATAAAAGCAGATGGATTATCTTACTGACTGGATGTAATAGAAGGCCTTTTTCATATATGAAAGGCAATGACAAAGGCTTTGAGAATTAACGGAACAAATTCCAGAAACTTACTACAAAATGTGCTTGTTATCACTGCATGCAATAGGTTTTTTAAATCATTCTCCTCTCTCCCTTACTCTTTCCATACAACTCCTCAAAAAAGTAAATTAAAGCTTTCACAAAAACGTAGAACGAAAGGGTCATATTCTATCTCAAGACTTTGTTCCCAGAATCACCGAATTTCATGACATATAATAACTTCATTAAAACCTCTAGAACTGATGTGCTTAAACACATACTGAAGCACTTTCACAGCTCAGGTGCTAAAGCCCCTCTGATGTCAGAAGACAGTTTACAGAAAGAATCTGTCTAGTTGTTCCTACAGAAAATTAAGCTGCTTCTGCCCCAAACAAGAATAATTTGTGAAAGGAATCATACTGAGGATGCTGCAGTATCCCATAGATTCTCTGAAATACAGGTCTCTCCCTGCCTCTTCTTGCTCTGTAGAAGCAATGAATTGCTGATGGCTTTTATGAGAAGTAAACCACAGCGATCTCCCTCACACTACCAAGCTGTGCTGGCTAGCAGACCGAAAATGATAAACAATCTATCCTCTACGACCTGCTCAAAGTTTGGGTTTTTTATTCCACTTGATCTGGAAGGAGAGGGAAGTGTATGGGAAATAGCGCGCTCTGTCTGGAGCAGAGGATCTATCTTCACTGGCACTCTCGACTAGTTAATAGAAACACCCTCGCATCTGTGAGGGTTAGAGAACAGAAAATGAACAGAAGGTGTCTTAAAAGCTCCAGCAAGGCAGGTGCAAGTTGTAGCCCAAGACAAAAGCATAGCAAGCACAACGCTTTTGTAACGGAGATTAGTTAAGAGTAGCAATGACATCTTACAAGAGGAAAACAAAGCATTGCTCCTTGTCTTCAGCCTACAACAAACCTGTGGAACAGATCATCAGGTTTTCTTTGAGACAGTTGCATGTTATTCTTTGCCAACAGTAGCCTGTCACTAAAAGGAAAAATTCCATAATTCCTCTGCCTCAAACCACTATTTTTTACCAAACAAGCTACTGTTTTTACTCTACATGGTACCAAAAGTTTTTCAATTGCTCCAGTACAGTAGTGATATTTCTGGAGATATAAATGTTTATCCATCTTCTTAATCTGTCAAGTTTTGGATCAGAACATGTACTTCAGGATGAGCTAATTAGTAAAACTGAATCCTGATTTTGGTGCATCAAAGATACTTCACAGTTTGTTCTTGAAGGGGAGTGTGAGGTAAGATGAAAAGAACAGAAGATATTTTCTTACTTCAGGGAGGAAGAATTTGCAGTGATTATTCCTAGCAGTGGGGTGTGGCAATACTAATTTTCAGGAAAGTGTTGGAAACATGAAGATGATTCACTGTGAAGATGTGGCCAGAGTCTCTTATACCAATATAAACTAGCGTTAAAGTTTACAATTCTGCAAGAACTGTTTATTTAGAACAGACTGTATTTAGAAACTATATGAGGCAATAAGTTGCAATAGTTGGATCTGCTTCCAAATTACATGAAATGTGGTGCTGGTTGTATACATGGTACTGACTTATTCTTTTTTCTGCTGTGAACATAAGTAAACCAAAAATATTTTTTCGTATTTCACTTCCACAGTATGAGCATCAAAATGTACTTAAGTACTGCAGCCTCCTAGTTTTTAAAGCCAAGACTTTGCACTATGAACAATAATCATTAAAAACTCCGTTGTTTTTTTGTTGATATATAGGCAGAACGTTTGCTTCTGGAGATGAATTGACTCAGTTAATTAACTTTAAACCACCACTGCCTGGAGTAGGTCCAAGGACTGGCATCACAGGTCTTATCCGAAGCCTTCAGTTGCGGATTGAGAATCAAGAGGTGTTAAAGGAGTTTATGGTAAAGTGTGATACCTTTTTAAGATCTCAGTGTTTAGCAGAGGTAAGAAAGTGACTTAGCAGCCTTCTGCATACTGTATGGGAGATCCACTTGTATATCTTTACTGGCTCCACTTTCTCAGAGAATTATTCCAGCCAGAATGGGGCTTCTACTCTGCTGTTTGGGTGATGCTACAGTATTTGGATCTCTCTTTTTCCACACAGGTCAGGCTTACACTGTCCCCTGTCCAAAGATGCTGCCCACATGGAATGAAAAATAAATAATACACAAAAGTAGAGCACGAATCACTTTTTCCTAGACTGACTTCTTCCTATTACCCACTCAGCTCTGCTGAACATCTGCCTAAGAACTATTCTAGAGGCTGCATTAAAGCAAGACATCCATGTTGCTAGGGATTCACTAGTGTTGAAACACTTAGTTGATGAAAGGAAAATGTTTCACACACTGCTCCAGTGATCCATGGAACTCATTGCCACAAATTGCTATTAAGGTCAGGAACGTTGTGAAAGTAAAAAGAGAAAGTAACGTACCTCCATAGATAATGAAAACACATAATTACATCTGATGGCATATAAATCATGAAAAAGCGTAAAATTAGGAAAGCATATAAAATCTCTTGTTTCAGGATATAAATAGAGTACTCAGTTATCAGCAAATTCCCAAAGAACAGATTATTTCATAACTCTTCAACACAGTACTGGAATTTCCTTTAAAGGATGTACTCATCACCAGTGAAATAGGTTGCTACCACTTCTCCGTAGTAATTACAGCGTTATCAGTTTCTTTTACTTGCCTTTATATCTCTGACTTTCTGGGTACAAAATCCCACGGGCTCAAGTGTGTAGGGTTTGCTGACCTTCCCTGAAGGCTCAAGGGCATGTATTAATTTCCATTCATTCCATTCCATTCCATTCCATTCCATTCCATTCCATTACTGATGTAGGCATAGCATACTATGAGCTGAGTCATGTGTCTGCACAGAAAACATAAAGATCTAATAGGGGAAGCACTGGTTACCAAAGCCAATGGATATTTTATCTGAGTAAAAGCTGTAGTAACTGATGAAGATGTTAAAGAACTGTCACATATTTCAGTCCATGTACACTGTGTAGTGGCACAGTGTGACGGCTGAGCATTGTGCAATGCATACCGAAGAGGTAAAAGAGTAAAGAAAAGTGAAGGTAACTCAAAACTGTAAATAAATTAACTTGCACATTCCTGCTTCCAGCTACACTGCATTCTGTTCCCCTAAATCTGCCATGAAGTACTGACGACCATAGGATTTGCACGTAACGCCACTGATGCTGTTCCCTATATCCATCACTTCCTGTCACTGAAAAGTATTCACTGACATTCACTACCTGTTAACAGTGCTATAGTTGGTGCTTCAGGCAGTATGTTATCAATTATGAATGCTGCATTTGGCCAAGACACTATTCCAAACATCTATTTTACAGCAATATACAACAGGGATCTGTAGTGACAGGGGCTGAGGGTGTGGGTTGGAATTCTCACTTGAAAACCCCAGACATTTTGTGCAGGCTGAAGAAAATACAAAGCAATTTGAATTCCTTGCCTAGAAGTTTAGAGAATATGTACTGATTCTCTTCTGTAAGAAGTCTATTTGCCAGTCTTGGGTCACATATAGCAGTAAAGTTTGCTCACACTGACTCTGTAAAGATTGTCTGTAAAGGATGTGAACAACATGGATTGACTATTTCTCTTTGATCTAGGCTTTAGAACATGTGAAACCAATAGATGATTGCAGAACTGGCAAAGCACCAGAAAACCAGCATAAAAACAGAGACCAAGATATTCTTCCATGTAAGTATGCGCAGTAATGAGAACATACGTTCAGTGAACAAAGACATCGGAAAACAGAAGAACAGCTCTAACACTGGGATGTAGCAGGCAAATCCCACCGCATCCTTAGTCACAGAGAGCTCCACTAATAATGAAATGTATTGAGATTTTTCCAACAGAGGTAGAGTTCACATAAGGATGTCTGCATTGCACAATATGTAATTTTCTGAACTATCATCTTCCACAAGGCAGGACTTGGTCTGGTAGGGAGCCAGCTGTCTTGGTGTTTCCTTCCCTCTTTCTCAGAGATATTAATCTACTACATTTCTGTGGGCAAGTGTAACCTGAACTATAATAGCAGTTCTTTAAATCTATTTAAATGTACAGCTACGTCTACTGCTTGTGACACAGTGGAATTCTGAAAAGTACAGTGGAAATCACGGAGTTATGTAGCTCTTGGAAAGACAAAGATTCTTTCGGAAGTATTTGAAAGCATAACATCCAACCAGAGTTTTCAGCTGCTCAGCTCTGATCTGAGTCAGAAACAAGTTTCATCACTGATGAGAAGTCATTTTAGAAGGAAGATTTGAGTCCAAGAGCTGAATGACTGCTGTTAACAAGGATTTCCAATAAATAATGTACTGCCTAATGATTCCCTGAGAGGTATCATGACAGAAGGAGAACACTTTCTGGACCCTTGATGTCTTTCTAAACTGCAGCAGCAGGACAGCACATGCAAAATTTGTAGCACAGTTACCTCTCTATATTAGTGATACAGTATACATTCTCAGAAGTTTCCTGTTTTATAACACCATATCCAGTGACAAAAATGCCACACATTAAAAGCAGTGTTGGATACACTATTTTGAATTACTGCCGAACAATTCTGTGGTAGTTAGAAGGCTTGTCAGAATGTTACGCAAGTATCTTAAGAGAAATAAAGCTGCAGTGAACCATACAATTTATCTGTGGGAATTCCTATTAGCAGTGATTAATATTAGTGCTAGTGGCCAAATGTATTCTAAAATCCAGAGACATACTTTGCTGCTAGAGGCTGAGCTTCCCCATCTCTGGGATCCACCCGAGAGTGCTGAGGGAGCTGGCGGAGGTGCTCGCCAAGCCGCTCTCCAT